CACACACACACACACACACACACACACACACACACACACATTTATGACCTTTTTTATTGCTTTTGCATTTGGAGAATACTGAGTCACTGTTTCATGATGAAAGAGTCGAAGAACAACAACAACAACAATTTCACCAGTTCATCTTCACAAGGTGTTGTGTAAAAGTTTAAGCAAACTTAGTCTGGACTTTTCAACATGTCAGCTTTTCTGGAAATCTCTTTTTTCAACATCTCAACTTTTTATTTTTTGTCATTTTTTCTCGAATGTCTCCAAATTGTCTCAAACGTTTTCACTTTATTTTGGACATTTCAACTTGTTTCTCATGATTTTGAGTCTTTTCTTGAATGAATCACTGTATGTTATTAACTTCCTCTGCAGGTGGTAGATCTTGTGTTCCAGTATCTGAAGATGCTCCAGACTCTGGGCCCCCAGCAGAGGTCAGTCTTCACGAAATAAATAATATTAATATTTAATAGTTCAGTTTTCACCACTGAACTTAAGAGGAGTTGCCTTTAGTCGGCTTTATTGTATCTTTGTGTTGAATGAGTAAAGACACCAGATGTGAACACATCATCACATCAACACATCTGTCTTTCTTAAAGGATCTATGAGGAAATTCAGAAGATAGAAGCCAATGAGTTCCACTATCAGGAGCAGGTACTGCAGTGCACACACACACACACACACACAATAAACAGGAAGCGTAAACACATAACAAAAAATCAATAGCACACGTCATCAAGCCACCAATCAGAAAAAAGACAAAAGTTCTAAAACTCTAACCCCGGCAGGATTAGCCCCGCCCTCCTCCCGCCTCTGTCCCTGTGTTGACCTTGAGGGTTTTTGTGTCACCAACAGACGGATCCCATCGAGTTTGTGGAGAACATCTGTGAGAACATGCAGCTGTTTCCCAAAGACGACTTCCTGACCGGGGACCAGCTCATGTTTGAGTACGATCCTCAGGTAACAATGAGCAGAGAGATCCAGATCTGATCCAGAATCAGTCTGTGCCGAGAATCACAGATTCAATTGAACCATTGTACCTGAGTTACTGACCTCTGACCACCTGTGTGTGTGTGTGTGTGTGTGTGTGTGTG